GCTGGCCCAAATAGAAATTCACTCTACACTGGGATCATAATGATTTTTTTAATGCCTTCTCTCTTCATGGGTCTCTGTGGGACTTCAACATTCCAACTAACCAGAGCATTTCTTCTGAAAGTTGCCTAACAAGTAAAATTCCATGCTCGTTCCTTCAGCATACATTCGCCAAACATTTATCTGGTTGCCAAACTTCACTCAAGGCATTCTAATTAGGAAATTTAAAGCTTCACAGTGTAGCCACAGTTAAAAAAACAGAGCAGTAAAGATTTTGTCATCTGGCAAGATAAAGTAGCAAGCAAAATTCTCCTTGAGTCCTGAGAAAAGATCTATACCTCTTTCTGCTCAGAAGGCTGTCTTAAAGGAGAACTGAATTTGTCATTGGTTATGGAGGAAACAGCTCAATTCAGAAAAGATATTTTTTCTAAACAGTTTTTATATTGGTTCATTTAGTGAAAGCAAAACATTCCTTTCCTTTTGTAATAAACCACAAAAGTCTCAGGTTGTTCTGGAAGATCACAGTCCATCCATCCATCCATTTACTGTAAATCTACAGTCTTCTCTTTTTTTATGATCTTGATATTTGCTATCCAGGACAGTGAAAACGTTCTGGCTCCACTTCGGGATTCACTGTCAAGGTAAAACTTTGTTTTATGACCCACTGAAGAAGGAGGAAGTAAAGGAGGTACACTGGGAATGGGAGTTCTGATTTTCAAATATTACCTAGAATGAAATGGAACTGGGAGTGATAAATCCTCTTCTGGCAATATATTCCAGTATAAAATTAAACACATAAGTGGTGGTGAGCAGCCTTTCTCCTCTCCAAACTGTGAAATCAATAAACAACTGGTGATACATGGGTACCATGCAATTATCCGCAACAGGGAACTTTTATGCATATGATGTAGAAAGTCAGAGATATACTGTAGTAGGCAATGTGTCAGACTAGGATAGATGAAGCTCAAGGTCATCCTCAGCCATATAATTGACTTTGGCCCAGTCTCTCTCTCAGCCCAACGTACCTTACATATTTATTGTTATAGAAGTATAATGAAGAGATATCCCTAAGCCACCTTGAGCTCTTTTCAAGAATAGCCCCATCTAATGCACACTGCAGTGGTCAAGACAGGATGTATCCAAGCCATGGATAACTGTTGCTAGATCTGAGCAGCTCAAGATGGGTCACAGTTAGCATACAGAGAATGATTGGGTAAAAGCATTCCTTGCCAAGGCTGCTACCCTAGGATCCCTTGACAGCTGAAGTTGAAGGAGCATCCCCAGACTGTGAACCTTCTTTTTAGGGGGAGAGTCCAGTTTCCCACTTACCAATAGAATCTCTGTCTTGTCTGCATTTAACTTCAGTTTCTTCTCCCTCATCCAGCCCATCATTAACCATAGTCAATCCTCCACAGTCCCATATTAGAGGTTCTAATATGAAAAAGTTAATCAGACCTAAATCCGCCTACCTAAATAGTGGGCAGAGGGCAACAAAGCCCAGGAAACTCAAACTCGAGCAATGAAGCAGGAGCAGGTTTTCCTTTCTCTCAGATAAGCTGGTAAAAGGCAGGGGACAGTCAGCATTTTGCCTTTGTTCTTTCGCCTTCCATCATGGGGACCCTGCATTTCTCCCCAGACTGGCTTGTGCCAGGTAAGAAATGCACCCAACCCAGAAGATGGTAGGAGAATGAAGCTAGGTAATAATTAGGATGTTTTTAAAGCAATTATAGTATGGGTTGATCTGAGTTGTTTCTTGGTATCCTAATTTTGTTGTGTTTATATTTTGTATGTGTCTGGACAAATATTCCTGCTGTCTTCAATTCCCAATTAGGTCCTTATTCTTAATCTACGTAATAAACCAGGTTATCCTCTTCTGAAATTGGTAGTTCCATTCTGAGAGAGAATTTAAGCCTACAAGGTATCCTAGTCACTTTGTTCGCTAATAGAAGGCAAGAAAGTCCACTCTCCTCTTCCTGAGTAAAAGTGCAGAGAGAAATTTTCTCTGTAAAGAGTATAGAATGGCAGGCCTGAATAAACTCTCTCAAGAACTGCAAAAGGGTGGAACAGTAGGGATTATGGGAAAAGTGTAGGCACCACCACTTAAAGCAGTCAGAAGGGCCAATCCACCACATCTTTGTGCATGTGAATGCAAGCAAGTACTCCTTTAGAAATGGTTTCTACTGTAGATGTTTTCTTACTTCCTTTTTCAAGCAAAAAAGAAGTACTACAAGCAATCATCGATCATCTCCCTTAATTATGAAGCCAGACTCATCCAGGATGATTTAATCAAGGTCATGGGCATTTATGGAGGGAGAGCAAGTACCAGGTGATGAAATACACATCACAGTGTCATGACACACATCCCACCTCTTACATACTTGCATGTGGGATTGTGACGCAAGTAAAAAAAGGGTGGAGCTTGTATTATGATGTCACAACCCACATTTCATATATATATTTTAAAGACATATATAGTTTTGAAGACAAAGGTAAAAACTAATACAAACTAATATAGAATAAGGAAGAAAAAAGAAAAAGAAAGAAATCAGAGAGAAAGCTAGAAGTGCAAGAAAGAAAGAAAAAGTAAAAGAAAAATAGAAAAGAAAGAAAAAAGATACAAAGAAGATGGACAAACAGTTGGAAAAAAGTCATGGAACTTTGTTTTTGTATACGTTAACTGCAGTGAGATTATCGTATTCACAAAGATGGAAAGATCTGGCAATACCTGCAATGAAGGAATGGTTGGTGAGGATGATAGAACTTGCTGAGATGGTCAAACTGATTTTTGATCAGAGAAAAGACAATATCTATGTTTATTGCTGATTGGAAATCAATTAAACAAATGAATCAAAAACTTCCTATTTATTTATTTATTGAGGAAAATGATTCCAAGCTACAAAATTGTCACATGGGGCAAAAGTATGTGAACCTTTGCTTTCAGTAACTGGTGTGCCCTCCTTGGACAGCAATAACTGCAACTCAACATTTCCAATAACCATTGATCAAGCCTGCACATTGGCTTGAAGGAATTTTAGCCCATTCCTCCTTACAGAACAGCTTCAAATCAGGGATACTGGTGGACTTCCTTGCATGAACTGCCTGCTTCAGGTCCTTCCACACCATTTCTATAGGATTAAGATCAAGACTGACTTGGCCATTCCAAAACATTAACTTTTTTCTGCTTTAACCATTTTTTGATCATATGACTTGTGTGCTTTCGGTGGTTGTCTTGCTGCATGACCTACCTTCTCTTGAGCTTCAGTTCATGGACAGATACCCTGACATTTTCCTGTAGAATTTGCTGGTCCAATTCAGAATTCATAGTTCCATCAATGATGGCAAGTCATCCTGGTCCAGAGGCAGCAAAACAGGCCCAAACTGTGATACTGCCATCACAGATAGGATAAGGTTCTTATGCTGGAATGCAGTGTTTGCCTTTTGCCAAACATTACGCTTTCCATTCAAACCAAAAAATTATATTTTGGTCTCATCCAGAGTAGTAGCTTTGTCTCTGCAACCCTGCCATGCACACCATTGTTCAATGTTCTCCTGATGGTGGCCTCATCAACAGTGACATTTGCCAATGCAAGACAGGCCTTTAGTTCCTTAGACACTTTGCTGGGGTTCTTTGAGACCTTCTGGAGTATTATACACCTTGCTCTTGGTTGGTTGACCACTCCTGGGTGAGCAACAATGGTGCTGAATTGCCTCCATTTGTATATGATCTGCCTGACAGTGGACTGATGGAATCCAAACCCTTTGGAAATAGTTTTGTAACCTTTTCCAGCCTGGTGAGCATCAACTACTGTTTCTCGGAGGCCCACAGAAATCTCCTTTGTTCGAGCCATGACACACTTCCACATACATGTGTTGTGAAGATCAGACTTTGATAGCGAATACCCAGAATTCTGCTCTTTAAATAAGGCAGGACCTCCCACGCTCACCCATGATTATTATCCCATTGATTGAAACACTTGACTCAAATTTCCCCTTTAAATGAACTGATAAATCCTAGAGGTTCATATACTTTTGCCACACACAGATATGTAGCTTTGGATCATCTTCCTCAAGAAATCAATGAACAAGTATGATGCTTTTGACTCATTTGTTTAACTGGGTTCTCTTTATCTAGTTTTAGGACATGTGTGGAGAACAGACTGCATTTTAGGTCACATTTATGCAGAAATATTGAACATTCAAAAGGGTTCACAATCTTTTAAGCCCCTGTAACACTTGGGAATGTATTTTAAATAAAGAGTTTTATTGCCTTGGATAAAAAGCATTGATCCAACTAGTTATTTCAAATACTGCACCATGCTCAGAACAAACCCTTTTCTACGTATAGGTCCAGAATAATCGCTTCCCTTGCCTCCACACCAAAAAAGAACCCTGAAACCTCCCTATGGGGAACGGGCACATCAGATCCACTCTGATCGGCCCTTAGTGCTACAAACCACTTTGATCTCTCAGCAGAGTTCTGGTTTTGGAATCGCCAAGTAGCGGACCAGCCGTATCATTAGGCAGAAGGAG